TACTGTTCTTGGTTTTCATATGTTAGATAAGATCCACACAGACCAAACATTATGAGGATGGAATGGTAACTTTGGCCCCCTTCATTTCCTTGCTTTCATCAAATAAAGTTACACCCTTGCTTTGACGTACCATTGAGGTTTCTTTTGTGTGTTAATTGACGTTGGCTTTGTAAGACTCGGTGGAATGTAATTTTATAGGGAGATGTTTGATTGAAATCTCAGCCTTCGTTGTTTTGTGCTTTTTCAGCCAATGCTCAAAAGCCAACTATTTGTTAAATCTTTTGCCTGTGTTTTACATTAAGGGAAAGCTGGGGTTTCCTATTGGAAACATGAAGTGTACTTTCTTTATGGAAAACCTAACAATTTGACTTCGTTTCATTTGTAATATAGCTGTAGCTCAGTGGCAAAACATCTGCCTGGCATGCAGAAAGCCCCAGGTTCATTCCCCAGCATCTCTTGGCAGGACTGGGATTGTCCCTTGCCTGAAATCCCGGAGAGCTGCTGCCAGTCAGTGTAGACAGTACTGAGCTAGATGGCTCAGTGGTCTGGCTCAATATAAGGCAGTTTTCTATGACAGAATATTGTACTGCACCCTGACATCCAAAAATGAGAGCTTCCTTCATGGTTTCCAGTAGCCATAACCCCCTCCAGGCAGGATAACCAATTCTATCTACCACCACCTTCAGTTTATATTTGTATTTTTTCCAACCAACCTGAAACATTTTGTGCTTGTGAAGCATGTTCATGCTGCATGGAGCTGTGAGGGGAGGGGGCTGCCTGCTTCAATATTTTTTTTTAGGAAGATTTTTGTATGTCTGCAAACTTCAGGGTTTTCCTGACCATACTGATACTAGTAGTAGCAGCAGCATCATTAACAAACTGCTTTTCATTTTAAGATGAGATATATTTTTCTAGTTTCTCTAGAGAGAACATTAGGTCCTCCAAGAAATTGGAGGACAAATTTTGACACAGCACTAGAAATTTTGAGTGGGCTCATTTTGTTTCCCAGCTGGTAGGCACAGGGCAGCTCAAGTTTGGTTTTAGAGGGGGGAAGTAGGGCCTGCAACAAAAGGTTGCAGTTGGCGTGTTCTGGCTCTGGGTTCCAGGCAGCCATGCTGTATTCTAGGATACTCTTTTCCATTCCCTTTCTCCTCTAGTTTTCTGTCCCTCTCGCCTCACTTTTCTCAGTGGTTCTGTTGTGGCTCCACCCCTGCCAGCTCCCAGCAGCTTAGCTCACTACAGTGGTACCTCGGTTGTCAAATGTAATCAGTTCCGGAATACCGTTCAACTTCCAAAACGTTCGACAACCAAAGTGCAAAGGGTAGTCAGCAAAGTCAATGGAGAAAAGGGGGGGCGCAATGGAAGCTGTTTGACTTCCGAGACCCATTTGAAAACGCAAGCAATTACTTCTGGGTTTTCAGAGTTCAGGTTCTGAAATGTTGGGCTTCCAAGATGCTCAAAAACCGAGGTACCACTGTATTAGAAGGGGTGATTATGGTGATGATTTAATACCAAGGATATCATAACTGAAAAGACCTGGCATGAGCTTCACTGACATGCAAAACACTTCAATGAACCATGAGTTGCACCCATGGTTCTTTTGTAACATGGGCCCCTTGGATGGGTTATGCCTTGCAGGAAATACTATTCTCCTAAGGCAACCTTCCCCAACATGGTGCCACCAAAGGAGGTTGCCGACGGCTGCTCCATAGCTTTTGGTTGTGTGTTAAGTCCATGCTTCTCACTCCTTTCCCCACCTTCCTCATTAGTTAACTGACATTTCTTGGTAATTGAATCAAGCATTAAAGGCTAATGTGCTGTGTCTGGTCACCTTTAAATAAGACACAACTGCTGCTCCCAAGGACCAGTCACCCTATCTCACCCCCTCGCACCCTTTTTAAGGAAGAAAGTATTACAACATTCAGACCAGCCCATCAACAGCCAATAATTCTTTATGCTCCATTATTAGAAGGTGTGCCTACCGTTTAACAATAATGACTCTAACACCCTAAGTCATAGATGTTTATAGCTATTTCTCCTTTCACGCCATCCCCTTTTCCTCTCTTCCTCCTCCTAGTTTTATGCCCTACACAGGTGATTAGCATGTTGTAATTGAGTTGGACATAAAAAAAAAGATAATTAATTGACATTTCACTCCCAGAGAGGTCAAACTGCCCCATCTTCTGCAGTCATTATGAGACTAGTCATTCTGCTCCTGCTTCCTCCACTCCATTCCACCCCCCACAAGGTGATGGAATGACCTTTATCTTGCTGATCAAGACATAATTGTTGTAATAAAAATAGACACAGAGGGTGGATTTCAGGAGTGGCACTCCTGAGATGGGAGTCTCCAATTAAACTGGGTTTTATCATGAGCTGCGGGCAGCTGTCAGATGGGAGGCAGGAGCTGGGAAGAGAGAGTTACATGAAGGATGCAGACCTGACACACTGCAACCAGGGAGGCATTGTTTCTCAGGCAGAGTCCCAGTCCAGCCTTTGATACCCTTCCTGTCTGAGAGAATCCAATGTCTAGCCTGTTTAGCTGAGCCTAGTTCAGAACCTGAGAGTACGTCACTGCCCAGGGAAAGGCTCCAATCTACAGCCCTGGTTGCAACCCCGGTGGCTCTTTGCACACAGCACATGAAAACAGATCCAAGAGTGGACAATCACTACAGGGCAGAATTAGGGAGGCTAGAAAGCAGTGGTTTCTGTTCTGACCTGACTTCATCACAATCAGCGCTGTTTCTGTTCTGCTGAAGTTCAGTTTCCACCAAATACTATGCTATTCATCTCCTTGTCTGCTATTTAACATTATTTACGTAACTTACAAATTCATTGTAATTAATGATGCAATTCTTTCCACACCGTTCATTTCAATGTCAGGGAAGCACAATTTAAAGGGGGCGGGGAGGAGTGGTCATCAACTATATATTGTTTGCAGACTAAAAACAACAACAGTTCATTGGTATTTAGTTCCATTCCAAACATGAGACCAAATGAGCAAACCCCAGCAATTTCCGCTTCCATTTCTATGTTCATCAGAATTCTCAGACAATCCCGGGCAGGATGAAGTTGAGGGTTTTGGTAGCAACCCAGAGAGCAACTGAACATGTTGCTCAGACTAATAGGGAAGACAGCAGGATCTGAGAGTTTATATTGGACAGTAGCATGTGATTGGCCTTTGGGGGCATGTAGCAGATTCTGGGATATTAATGCAAAATGTCCCAGCTTTCGTTCCGAGTGGCAGAAGGGATCTGATTCAAAAGGCCACTGGGTTGAGCCTGCACTTGCCACCTGTGCCAGCATACAGCCATCCTCTTAAGCCAGCTCATGTACTAGCGTTGGACCTTGGGGGTCTCAAATTTCAGCAGTGCCCTGTGCAACACCAAAATCCAGCACCCTCACCTCCCATGTTCCAATCAAAATCATAGTTGCGCCACCCCCAAGGCTTGGCACCCAGTACGACCAAACTGGTTGCACTGCCCTAAATCCGCCTCTGCGTTTACACAAATCAGTTCCCTGGGTGACGTCTTGTTGATGCTGGCAGAACATTACTCTTTGTCCTGTCCATTCTCTCACTTCATTGGCCGAAAGAAAGGTTACTTTTCCTGCACTAAGCACCCAGCACAGTGAAATTTCACATTGTTAAGTGCTGCACAACTTTCCATGGTGTCTCCACCTGATCGTTTAAAAAGTTCGCCTTTCCACTTTTGCAAGGACGTTCTTTTAACACCTCTCTCTTCATTAGCTTTCGCTGTACTAGCAGTATTTATGTTCTGAGCAATGAATGGGAACCATATTGCTTACAGCATAATTTCCAATTTCTTAATGCACTAATAGTTTTCAATAAAGATTTCGCAGCTGCTAACTCCTGATTTGCCTTGTCTAATGGTAGTGCGATATGCTTTTAAAGAAAGTATCAAACTAATACTGTGAAGTTGGGAGTGGGGTGGAAATCAAGGTTACCCAGGTGTGGCATGGTGTCAGGGTTCAGACCTGTCCAACCCCAAAGGGCCAAGAAATTAGAGCTGTTAAGGGCCACAACCTTCACAGATGCATTATTTAGGCAGTATTGATAATGATATAAAAAGCATGGGAAGCTGTGGTCCTTCCAGGTGTTGCTGAACTACAACTTCCAGCCGCTCCAGCAAGCACAGCCAATGTCCAAGGATTATGGGAGCTGCAGCTCAGCAACACCTGGAGAGCCACAGTTTCCTCACACCTGTGATAAAGTATCCTATGTCGCTGGAAGTTCCAGCTTCACTCTCTCTTGGAGCTGGGTGACTGGTAGTGGCACTGTGGTGAACCTAGGTCCCATATATGTTTGTTCACTAGAATGGGTTCATGGAGTCTGTACAATTGAAGCTATCATGCAGCAACTGAAGCTACCATTCCACATTACAAATACCCAACTGGCAACCAGTACCACCCAAATATAACATGACTTCCATGTCAGCCTGAACCCAATTGTGAACGTTTCTGGGTTGCTTGGAAGGACCATGCAAAAGCTCCATTGCTACAGATGGTCACACTCTTTATGGAGAGGCCGGAGTGCATCACCATGCCCATGAGGAACATATGAGTGTTGACACATACATAGGGCTTCAATCTCTACCTTGCAAGATAGTTGCTAAGAAAACTCTTGGTGGTGGGGAGAAGAGAACCAGGCATGGTGCCTTTTGCACTTTGGGGGAAGTGAGAGATGTCAGCGTACTGAATTTTATAAATACTGTTGGAGATATTACTAGAGTAAATCACAGCTGCTGAGAGCTTAGGTACAACATACTAATTTTCCATTCCACTATTATATTCAAGGTGACTTTTATAAAGGGACCCAAAGCTTGCAGTAGAGAGCCACAAGCATTTCTTGTGTCTTGTTTCATTTACCTTCCCCTTCAACAGACTTAATATTTTTTATTTAAATTTTGACCACTCATTAAACACAACAGGAAAATAGACAGATGCTTCCCTTGACTATACATTGTTCTTTGTTTATATAGAAAATGAAAGTGGCTGTTTCCGAAGAGTTGAGCGCGGCTGTGCCATCTTCAGTAGCATCACCCTTGCACCTCTTCCAGGAGATCCTCAACCTGCTGTGCAGTCAGATGAGCCAAATGAAGTAAGGAAAGCCAGCTACACTTGTGGACGCAACAATTCACATCCACATTTCATTCCCATTTCATTATCTGGCAGTAGTCCAGATTGGAAGCTCCTCCCTAACACCCAGAAGGAAGAATGTCTTACCCAGAAGTGGCTTGCTGAGCAGGGCAAAAAAACCTGCTACCCTAACTTCCTGGCAGGAAGGTCACCATTGCTTATCAGGAGGGGTAAAGCAGTTATTGAGCCAGATTGGTTTTGCTGGTGTGTTTGCACTGCAGTGACCTCCCCACCAGCTCCCCCACCTTCAGGTAAGCTACAGCGACTCACCTCCCAGGAAGCTAGAGTATTGGCTCCACGAAACCTGCCTCAAAGAGTGCACAGCAGGTTCCAGTGATGGCACCTGCAGCCCCACCCCCTTCAAAACATTCTGGTGTGGTCCTTCATACAATGCAGAGTTCTCGCTGTTCCCACCAATACTCTAGGCGACTGTGTGAAATTAAATTACTACTAGACCCAGTGTCCTGGTGTTTGTCCAAATGCTTCTCAGACCACTGCCCCCCAAATAAGTCAAAAGAGGAGGGGACCCACAAAAGAGCTCTTAACCCGTGGCCCCTCAGAATTGAAGCCAACCTCACCAGATGCATGCATACATACATAGCAACTTTATTTGTATTAGCCATTAGCCATAGCAATAAAATAAAATACAGTGTACTGAGGATACAGCTAAATGCTTAGCTATACAAATGACATTCTAGAGCAGCGGTTCTCAACCTGTGGGTCCCCACATGTTGTTGGACTACAACTCCCATCATCCCTGAGCTCTGGCCTTGCTAGCTAGGGGTGATGGGAGTTGTAGTTCAACAACATCTGGGGACCCACAGGTTGAGAAAGGCTGTTCTAGAGGTTTACATCAGTACAAATGGGGTCCAGTATCTTATAGCATGTGCAATCCCTTATGCTTGCCTTAAGAAGACATGTTCTGTGGAGCCAGCATTGTGCCTGGGTAGACGGCGGAACTTGGGAACATAAGTTCGGAACCCTGGTTAGTCATAAAGCTCACTGGGTGACCTTGAATCAGATCTTGATCTCTCTCATATTTAGAATTTATTATCTAAACCTCTTACTCATGCAGAAAGGGGGCAAAAAGGCAAGTGTCAAGACCATTGCAGAGAAAATGACTGCTTCCCAGGAGACGGTTGGAGATAGCAGGTATGTTCCCATCTCCCACTTCTCAGATGGATGCTTTTCATTCATGTCTGTGACCCTGCTTTCTCAACAAACTACATCAAACTGCCTTTTGTATTTCAAGTAACATTTTCAGAATGTTAAAAGATTGAAACCAAGGTGTCATCTTGCCTAGTGGTGAGTGAGCTGCACTCCCAACTACTGCCTTAAAAAAAAAAGATCCCCTATGGGCTCATTGTTATGTTTTGAATTTGTGAAGCAAGAATGTGTACTCAGGATCTCATCATCATTAAGTCAGAACTAATCACTAACAGTAAACTTGTGCTGTTTCTTAAACACATAAGAAATCCTTTCCTGAGCCAAAGTTAACTTAGTCTGGGATTCTAGGTGGTCCACCAGAAATTGGCCAATAGGATCACTCTGATTCATTATCTCTCTTCTGTCCCTCAGTTCCCTGCCTCTGCCCCTGCCCCATCCCCACACCATAAGTATTCATTTATTTCTAAGCCTCCTTAGATGCCTTTCCAGTTATATGGTGCTCAGTGCAACTTTCAGGGTAATGCATTAATTGCCTTATAGACTGAAGGATCCCATGGTGATTGCAAACTGAACACGAGTCAGTTGTGTGATGCGGCTTCAGAAAAATCTAATGCAGTTTTAGGTTGCATTAATAGAACCATAATTTCCAAGTGGCAGGCAGTAAGAATTCCACTTTATTGTTGAAGGAGGTTGAAGGAAATCATGAACATCCACAGAGGTGCGAAAGCAGCTGGATGAGCCATAATCTCTAGATTCCCAGTTTTCAGTTCCTGCCTTCCTGTCTATCTAATCTATCTATCTATCATCTATCTATCTGTCTGTCTGTCTATCTATCTAGCTAGCTAGCTAGCTAGCTAGCTAGCTAAAAAAAGCAAGTTTCTACCTTTTGTAGAACCTGAGAGATGAGGCAATCCATACAGGTCATGGTCTCCTCATTTGTTTTATGAGAAATTAGCCTGCACTTATCTTTCCGTGTTCTTAGCAGGGAGGCTGGTCAGCTTCTTCAATCCATGAATTTCAGAACCCCCACAACAACATCCCCACAGCTATCCTAACCCCATATGCATATGCATTGATTTTTACTTAATCAGACTGCCACTAACCAGTCCCTCTTCTGCTAACCATTCTGCTGTTGACAACAGAGCCAATCATTACCCATCACTATGTGTGGCCAGCAGGTCCCACACATGTCTCGGGGGGGGTGTTGAACTTTAAGGGGGGCAATGACATACAAACACTCTTCCATAGAAACGGCTAAGGTAGGGTGTCAGGACTTTACACTCCTCCTTCTTTCCTCCCCCCTCCCCTTTCTGATTGGTTCCATGTAGCCAGAAAGGAGTCAGTCAACATCGACTATCAAAGGACATTATGAATAGCCCCAACCTGCAAGCTGTAGGTGATTGAGGTATTTACATCTTTCCCTGGAAGTCATCACACAGGTGGAGTTACTGCAATCAGTGAAAGAGCAGATGAGGGAGAGAAACTCAACTGACACCAGGCGGGACTTGTTCTGGCTATTGTGTTTCAGTCCAGTTTATCTCAGTAATTCATGGAGGCTTGGGATGCAGTGGAGGTGGGATGAAAAGAGGAGGAATGTCAATGGCAACCGCAGAGTAGAGTGGGGTGGCATTCTATCCTTCCTCCCCTTAGTTACATTTAAGAGGTAGCTGCCCAGAGCGGCTGGGGCAACTCCGTCAGGTGGGCAGAGTAAAAATAATAAATTTATTTAATTATTATAGTTGAGGGGTTTTTATTCTTGTTCTGGCACACTAGAAAAAGAGACATAGCTCTCTTGAGCTTTGTCAGCTTGGTGAGTTGTTGTTGTTTCCCCCCACCCTTGGGTTGTATTGTGGCTTCAAAGCATTGCTGGTGTGTTTGTGTTCTTATTTAAAATGAGCCTTGCGATTCTCCGTAGCATTTCCTGGAGTGGAGGTTTCCATGGAGACTATACTCCAGGAAATGCCTTGGTTTGCATTTTCAAAGAACCCTTGTCGCTCCCCAGCCTTGCCGGGCAGATGTTTGTGTTCTTAAGAAAGAGTTTTGGAGTTGTGATTTTCCGTACTGGGTTTCCCTGGAGTCTAAACTAGTGTGCAAAACTAGCAACTACAGTCAAAGCCCACCTGCATAACTCTACAATATCCTGTACCTGTCTGTCTTTGAAACAGATACATTCTGATGCTAGTTAAACATTGAAGAGCTGGCTTTCCTCCTTGCCACGGGCATGTGAAGAGGTGTGTGTGCGTTGCAACCATGTAGAACACAAAGACCCCAATTGTTTATTTCAGGAAGCATTCTAACAGAACATAGATGTGTCGGAAGCTGCCTTATATTGAGTCAGACCATTGTCCGTCTGGGTCCCCATTTTCTACACTGACTGGCCATGGCTTGCCAGGATTTCAATCAGGGTACAATTCTTAGCCCTATGTGGATATGCCAGGAACCTTTTGCATACAAAACAGATGCTCTACTGAACTATGGTTCCATTTACTTTGCTGTAAATGATCCTGGGGAAGAGATTCATACGTGTGGTACAAAACTATTCATCAGAATGGAAATGACATCAAATACTGTCTGGCACAGCTCCTGGTACCCCAGATTTCTCCAGTTATTAAGAAAATTATGAATCAGTTTATCTAGCAGGATATACTTTTAGCCACAGAGAACTGTGTTATTTTTCCAGAAATATTGGTATCATTCTAATGTGTAAGAAAGGAGATGTTTGAGTGCTCAAATTGGGAGAAATGCCCCTTCTCAAATGACAAACTGTTTCCAATAAACCTATGCCAATTCATTCAAGTTCTCAAGCATACTTTTGATTTTCACAGAGTTACTGTTGGGTGGTTTGGAGCACCCCAAATCCTGTGCCTGATAAATGAAGATTCTGTGTATGTGTATGTTTGTGTGAGAAAGAGAGAGACAGAGAGAGAGGGAGGGAGAGGGAGAGAGAGAGAGAGAGAGAGAGAGAGAGAGAGGGAGGGAGAGAGAGAGAGAGAAGAATGACAAGACAACTTCACATATTGCAGTATAACATATATGAAGCTATTTCTCTTTCCTCTTTTTTTGCATCAATTTCATAGCCCAGGGACAGCCAACACATTGCCCTCCAGATATCGCTGGACTACAGCTCCCATCATCCTTCACCATTGGCCATACTGGCTGTGGTTGATGGGAGTTGAAGTCCAACCATATCTGGAGGGCACCACATTGATTAGTGCTGCCTTAGCCATGCATTAATAGATCTGTAGGGGAGGCCCTACTAATAGTTCCATCCTTTACCTGAGTCACAATAGGGTCTTCTCAGTCATGGCTCCTTGATTTGTGGGATGCCCTCCTGCTGGAAATGCTCTCATTCGCCTCATTGACGTAATGTTCTGTTCAACATATGAGGGTTGATGAGTTGATTGTGGTGTTTCTTACGTATTGTGGTGGTGCTGATTTTCCCTATGACATGCTTTCAGTTTGCGGTTTTATTTCTGATGTTTTATTTTTATTATTTTATTGTCAATTGTTCACTGCTCCAAGAACTTTTGTGGAAGGGCGGTCTGCAAATACAGTAAATAATAATTTCTCTTTCTCATATCTTCTTGCTTTCCAGCTCCTGCTTTCTCTTTTCTCTGAATTCAGGTTTGGTTGGGACTTTCTGTTTCTTTTTGTGTCTCTCAAAACAGAAGCAACTACAGCAACATGAAAATGGATTGTTTAAAGCATCTCTATTGTCCTCTTCTTCTGTGCACTTCAGGATGTGGTCTCCCTTTTACCCTTAAAATAACCCTGCAAAATAGGTAGAGAGTGAGAGAGTGCACCAAAGCATCACCTATTAAGCTTTGTGGCTTGAACCCAGGAATCTGCACTCTAAATCTAACCACTGGACCACACTTAACCTTTTGTTTTACTACTTCTTTCTGATACTGCTGCAGTAGCATTCCCTTCCGTTTTGGCTGCAGAAAATACGGTATATCAGTGCAGTTAATTACTGTCAGAAGCACAAGCAACTTCCTAAGATTATGAGACATGTATTGCTGATAAGAACAGTTCAACAGTGGCACCAATTACTTTGCTGGAGGCTGAGATCTTCAAGCAAAGTATGGACTGCTGTCTCTTCAGGGTGCTCTAGCTCTGAATTTCCTGCATCAAGCAAAGAGCCAGACTTTATTAGTCTTCCTCAACTTGGTGCCCTATAGATATTTTGAACTAGAATGGCCATCATCCTTGACCATTGGCCATGCTGGCTGGATGAGAGTTTGTGTCCAAAATATGGAGGATATGGGGTTGGGGAATGTTTGACTAGATGTCCTAAAAGGTTCCCCCCAACTCTTTGGTTACCATCTAGTCCAGCATTCCCCAAACCCATATCCTCCATGACTCTCTGCAAGGACCTAATGAGCAGCTTGCCATGTATGTTTGTGAAAATCTTCTATCTTTTTACTATCTGGCCATCTCTCTGCAACAGTCCTTTGCCACCCAATTTAAGATCCTTTGTTTGCATGTTAAATAGAAAGCTCAGTTTTCAGATGCGAGGTGTAACCTCAAACTTCCCATAGCTTTTTACACAGCCTTAGCTGCATTTGCTGAAATTTGCTGCACTGTGTGGCTGGAACATGGATCAAGTGTGTGGGAGGGGTTGAAAAATGTAGAGATGAAAAAAAATGATCAAGCTTAAAGTGTGGCTTTTAACAAACAAGGGACACTTCAGATCACAGTGATTGGAAGTAGAGAAATTAATTCCTGGAGTGGGGACACACGAACATCACGTTTATGCCTACTGTGGTAAATACCTCTATGCACCTACTGAAATTCCAAGAATCTTAAAGAAGTGATCGCAGCTCAAGAACACCATCTCTCCCCCCACCCCATACCCAAATAGTAGCTTTGTTGGTTGTGGCTAGAAAGGAAGCCAGTTCCACGAAAGAAATGGAAACTAAGATTTTGCAGTTTGAATTACATCTTATAGAAGCCGACCAGCAGCATTATTCCGGACATCCCAGAGGTTTTTAATTCCCACTAACAGAGAGGGTCCTCTGGAGTACTTGAGGACCCACTATGACCAGCTGGCTACACACTCTGATGATAAAATTTCTCAACTTTGGAGTGACCTTGACTCCACAGTTCTTGTAGTTTCAGATGTACCCAGTGCCAGAGTTGGTGGTGTGTTGTGGGATCAGTTTCAACTTTTGCAGTCAGCTGATGTGGACAAGGTGCTGCAGGTATGCAGTCTGGGGTTTCCCCCTGGATTTAGATTTGTCCTACTGAAGGCCCAGGTAGATACTCTGGCAAGAAGTGCCTTTTACCAACTGCACCTGCTACAACAGCTATGGCCGTTCCTGGGCGGGGAGAGCTTGACCACAGTAGTTCATGCATTGGTGCCTTAAATATTAGATCACAGCAATGTGCTTTACGTGAGGCTTCGCTTCCATTTGATCCAGAAGCTGCAGTTAGTGTATAATGCTGCAGCATAACTACTGACAGGAGTAAGACCTTGTCAGCATATAGCACCTCTACTCAGAGATCTGCACTAGTTGCTGATTTGCTACTGGGCCAAGTTTAAGTTGTTAATATTAGTATATAAAGGCATCAATTGCTTGGAGCCAGTTTACTTGTGGGATTGCGTTTCTTCGTATGTGCCCACTCAACGGCTTTGATCTGTGGAACTTACACTGTTACAAGTGCCACACAATATTCATTATGCACTTGTAAGAAATGTATATTTTAGTGTGGCAGCCCCTATACTTCAGGAACTACCTGCATATTGACATCAGTCAAATGCCTCACTGTGGTCTTTCTGGCAACTGTTTATAACATTTTTGTTTAGGCAAGCCTAGCCAGGCACTTAGAAATTGATGAGTTTTCATATTTATTAGTTTACAGCTGATTTTAATTGCTTTAAAAAAAATTACATGTTTTTAATTGATCATTTTAAAACTTATTGTCAGCCACTTAGAGGTATTGTTTCAGTCAAGTGGTATATAAATTTTGTTACATAAATAAGATTTTCTAGCCACGACATTATCTGTCACAGTCAGGTTCTCGTGTAGGGATGCTCTAGAAATTTGTTCTTTTCAATTTTTTATAATTGCCTTGAACTGATACATACATCCCAATCTAATCTCTGAATCAGAATGCAGTTCTCCAGATTTCACCTATGACTTTTGCAATGCTGTTCTCATATTTTTCAAAAAAAATGAACCCAAAATGCATATAAAAATGTGCACTTTAGGATAAATTACATTTGAAAATGCATTCTTTGAGAGTAAATTTAAAAATGGGTACTTTGTAATAATGATAATAATAATAATAAAGTTCAATAATACTTAAAATACCAAATTTTGTGTGGCACTCAGCAGGGAGGAGGATGGGGACAAAACTAGTATTAGCTGTTATCATTTCTGTCTTTGTCTGTCATTGGTTGTGGCTCCACCTACTGTTTGCCTCCTTGTACAGTGGTACCTCTGGTTAAGTACTTAATTTGTACCGGAGGTCCGTACTTAACCTGAAACTGTTCTTAACCTCAAGCACCACTTTAGCTAATGGGGCCTCCTGCTGCTGCCGCGCCGCTGGAGCACGATTTCTGTTCTCATCCTGAAGCAAAGTTCTTAACCCGAGGTACTATTTCTGGGTTAGCGGAGTCTGTAACCTGAAGCGTATGTAACCCGAGGTACCACTGTATTCTGCAATACCAGTCTCAATGGGCATCAGCCCCCAGTGGACTACATCAGTTCTATAGCCACATCAAGTCCACCAGTCCTCTCTAAACAGCTTGCCAAGTCTTGTCAAGTTGTTGCTGAAGGGATCAACATATTTTTTCTAATATCCTCCTTCAGATCGCAAACAGGGACTCACATGACTGAATGCTCTGACGTAAACAAGCAAAAAGCTTAGGCTTGAACCTTTCACTCTGATATACTTCATATGTAGGTGGAGGGAAGTTTTCTATGGAGAAGCATTCTGTCATGCATTGCAGGGGGTTTGGACTAGATGATCCTTGTGGTCCCTTCCAACTCTACAATTCTATGATACTATTCGTTTCCCTGTATGCCGTTTGGCAGACACTGGTATGGTAGGCGTTAACTTTGAGGCAGCTAGGCTGGAGCTGACTCCTCTAAACTTTCAAGTAGCACCGTTGTACACTGCTCCTAAGCCTTTGACAGGGTTAAGAACTTCGGAAGCTGCCTTACAATGAGTCTGACCAATGATTATTCTAGTTTTATATATGTTAAAGGTAATGTAAGTTGAGTGGTGAACGTGCGCAACAACCAGAATAGGGAATTGGGCACACTTTCCAGCCAATATGCATACTCTCCAACAGGCCTTGGGGAATGTGCACATCTCAATGGCACTTTGGAGAAATGTGCATGACTCCCTCTTCATGAACAGATTATCTGCATATTCTCTATGAAGCCTGGTAAATGTGCACAGGGAGCAGCTGCTATGCATATTAACTGTTCAACTTACATTGCGCCTAAGATATACAGTGACAAGCAGCAGCTCTGCAGGTTTTCAGATGGATGCCAGGATTGAATGTGGGACTTTGTTCATGCAAAAGTAGATCCTTTACGACTGATCTATGGTGCTTCTGAAAGGGTTGAAACTGTGCCATTTTCTTGTGCTGAAAGAAATCCCCTCCCCCATACACCTTACCTCCAGAATAGACCCAAAATATGAAGAATCAGCTCACAGATCTACAGAAACATAAGCAAATATTAGGAGTAATTGCAATTTTTTGATTCAGAGCAGGACAACAGCAGAACGATTAGTCATTACAGTTCACTTCACAAGAAGAATGAATGGCTGATGCAGCTACAATTATATTCCCTGCTCAGTGTGCGCACAAAAGGAAACTCACCAGGAAGATCTAATTAGTATCTCTTTAGCAGACACTACTTCTGTAGTAGCAGAAGTGAATGAAGAAGCCTCATTTTGGAGCAGGTGTCCAACTGGCTTTCCCTCTGTCTGTAAGGTGTACACAGGTACTTGGAGCTCTTGGTTTGCTTAATTAGGGAGACAAAGTAGTAATTTCCCTGATTTGTTTTACAGCAGTCTTACATCTGAAGGATCTCTGCTATTTATCACATCTAACACTTTTTCTCTCTGTAAGGTTACCTGCATTCATCATCTCAACAGCCCCATTAAGAAGATAATCATCATTTCCATTTGAGGAAAGATGGGCCATTATGCTGCACAGCATCCATGGGCACCCACCTCAATGAGAATTGCACTGTCAGTTTCTTTAGCTTTCAGACAGTTGGAGGAGTACTATAGGCTGCATTTTCACAGACTGATGCTATGTATTGATTTCACTTGCAGCAGGGGATGGGGAACCTTCTACAGCTACTGGTGGGCAGGACCCTAATGGAAAAGTGGGTGGAGCAGTGAATGCAGATTTACCATCATACAGAAGGCTAGTTTCTATACACAATCACACACCCCTTTCTATCCTCCATCCAGGCAAGCAAGAAGCAGTATCAGACTTCAAGGACACTTTCCAGCCAGACTAAAATAGGGAGGGTGCAAAGCAGAGTCAATGAGGGGTGTAGCCTGGGAACATTCTAAGGACCAGACAGAGAGGCCTGGAGGGCCACATATGCTCCCCCCTCCAGACATTCCCTCGGGGCACCCACTAGAACTCTAGGTTAACCCTATACTTACCAAATATGCTGACAGTTAAAATGAAAATAAAGAGTATTCCTATTTTATATACAATCAGTCCAGGACAGTAAAATTCAATTCCCTTTGTGACTGACATAGGGGGTACCTCTTTTGACGTGCTGTACCCTAGGAATGTCTTGGACTGAACATGGCTGAATGCCATCTTGTAGTAGACCATACTATTCTGGATGTATGAGTGTATGATTTGTGGGATCCCAAAGCTTATTTTGGGGTGCATATTCCTAGGTCTTTATTTGCTATCATCAGATGTCTTCACACATTCCTGAGTGTTGCACAAAACAAAACAAAAAATCGACTGGAGAAAAGAATTGCATACCTTGAAGGTATGGTAATATGATACAGGGTATTCAGAAACTTACTTCGGAATTTGGGGACATATAAACCTTAGTTCTTTAAAAATGTTTTGATTGAGCTGCATTTTGAACTTTTGTGGCAAATAAGGAACTATTAATCAACTTCAGTATTGTGTGAAATTCACACTTCTAGACCCCACAAAAGGAACAGCAAAAATTTTATGTGTGGTACTCTCCTGAGTTCTTTACAGTATGGCTATGGAATGTCTTCTAGAGAGGTGTTTGGAAACAGAAAAGGGGGGGAGGGGTGGAGAGACACCATCAGTATCCTAAGAAGCAGAGCTGCCAAAATACTTCAGTTTTGCATAAACTGTTGTCCTTCTTCCCAATATTATAAATGAACCATGAGGATTCAGGCAAAATGTAGGGCTGCAAATGTGCTTAGTTGAGATAATACTCAACAGACGGAGGAGGCACAGAGAAGGAACATAGTGGAGAGAGTGAAAGAATCCATCAGCCCTAGACAGTAATAGAGGGGAAGGAATCAGGTTGCAAATGGAATGTGGCTGGAAGATAAAAATCATTGGAAAGAGCTGTCAATCTACTTAAAAACCTACATGTAGATTAGCTAGGCAATGCAATGTGGCAATGGAAGCATCTGTCACCATAGAAAATGGATCAGGAATACAAAAATACTTTTTTTAAAAGCACACCCACATTGGAGAGATAAATGAGGAGTCAATAAATAAATGAGAAGGGGAGAAATGTAAATAATAGCATAAGTGCTATCTAAAAATCAAAGAAGGAATGTAGAATATCAGGAAGTTTAGACAGGCTCCAGCCAACCTTCTTTCTATCAATATTTCTTTTTCTTTTTCTTCCCCCTGACGTGCTTCAGGGCACATCAAGATTGCATAGGCTTGCGTGCTTCCAGTCTTCAGGTCAAAGAGCATTCTTAAAGCAACCACCCTTACAGACTACCATTTAGAAACATCATTTTCTGTGCTTGAAGTCCCTGATCATTCAGAGGTATGTCAGCTGACTACCTTTGATTTCCCAAACCTGCCAACTCATCAGCATCTCCTTTCTAAAAATTGTAAAATGAAAAAGTTAGGCTACTGTAGACTGCTGGCTTTGGGGCCATCTGCAGCCATAGCTGAATCCCGATCTGGAGGCTGCATTCCTTGGAAATAAAATTCTATTGATTAGACCAGCATTTCCCAACTTGGGCCTTCAGCTGTTTTTGGACTACAACTCCATAATCCTCAGCTAGCAAGACCAGTGGTCAGGGATGATGGGAAATTGTAGTCCAAAAAACAGTGGAGGCCAAGTTGGGGAACACTGGGATTAGACAATGGGTGAAGATCAGGCTCCACACCTGGCCAACCCAGAGGCTTCATTGTGCCTGCCAGTCACAGCAGCTGATGCTGCGTAAGAACATAAGAAGAACCATGCTGGATGAGGCCAAAGGTCCATCTAGTTCAGCATCCTAATCTCTCAGTGGCCAACCAGGAGCCGCAGTGGGAATACCAACAAGCCAGACATGAATGCAACAGCACTCTCCTTACCTATGATTCTCTATCCAGCGGTATTCAGAGGCCTCCAACAATGCAGGGAGAACATAGCCATTGTGGCCAGCAGTCATTACTGGCCTCACCTTCCATGAATTTGCCCAGTCCTCCTAAAGCTGTCCAAGTTGGTGGCCATCACTACCTCCCATGGAAGCAAATTCCACTGCTTAACCATGTGCTTTGTGAAGAAGTAATTTGGTGTGTCCTGAATCTTCCCACATTCATTGTTGTTGGATGCTCCTGGGTTTTTCGTATGAGCGGGAGAAAACATTTCCCCGTCGCTTTCTCCACACCATGTATGATGTTTTACATTTCTATCATGTCCCCTCTTATTTGCCTTTTCTCTAAACTAAAAAAGAAGAAGCCCCGAATGAGTATATCTTCATCTAAAAGGCTGTGGGCCTAGGAGGTGAGGGGACTGGGAGTTGCTATCCCTCTCCATTACGTTTGTGTCTGAAAGACTACACCCTCGGTATGCTCATTTGGTTCTCATTACTTTCCAGCTAAGGATGGAGTAAGCAGCCTAATCCTGTCACATTTCAGTTTTGCTGGAGTTCAGTCACAGGTCTGCCTTGTCCCGTTTTCTGCAGCCTTTTTGTTTGTTTGTGGTTAAGAAAGCACAAAAAAATGCATTTAGATTTTACACATTTTGTACCTTCTCCATAAAATACACATTTAGGGGGGTGTTCAACTACGTTCTACTCAGAGTAGACCTATTGAAATAATAGACTTAAGCTAGTCATGTCCATTAATATTAATGGGTCTACTTTGAGTAGGATTAACATTGAATACAGCCCTTTGGATGTATTTTTTTTACGAGAAAGGTTTTTAAAATAATAATTATTATTATTTATGTAATAAAGTGCAAGGCTTCCAAGAAGAACAAGAGAACCAAACCAGAGACAATTACAACTTAATTCATATAAACATTTAGTATGTGTACAATTACTACTCCCAGCTCAATATATATATTTGAGAAAAAGGTATATTTATAAATATATTTATACTTTTTCTCAATATATATATTGAGCTGGGAGTAGTAATTGTACACATACTAAATGTTTATATGAATTAAGTTGTAATTGTCTCTGGTTTGGTTCTCTTTTGTTCTTCTTGGAAGCCTTGCACTTTATTACATAAATAATAATAATTATTATTTTAAAAACCTTTCTCGTAAAAAAAATACATCCAAAGGGCTGTATTCAATGTTAATCCTACTCAAAGTAGACCCATTAATATTAATGGACATGACTAGCTTAAGTCTATTATTTCAATAGGTCTACTCTGAGTAGAACGTAGTTGAACACCCCCTAAATGTGTATTTTATGGAGAAGGTACAAAATGTGTAAAATCTAAATGCATTTTTTTTGTGCTTTCTTAACCACAAACAAACAAAAAAGGCTGCAAGAAAACGGGACAAGGCAGGACCTGTGACTGAACTCCAGCAAACTGAAATGTGACAGGATTAGGCTGCTTACTCCATCCTTAGCTGGAAAGTAATGAGAACCAAATGAGCATACCGAGGTGTAGTCTTTCAGACACAAATGTAATGGAGAGGGATAGCAACTCCCAGTCCCCTCACCTCCTAGGCCCACAGCCTTTTAGATGAAGATATACTCATTCGGGGCTTCTTCTTTTTTAGTTTAGAGAAAAGGCAAATAAGAGGGGACATGATAGAAATGTAAACATCATACATGGTGTGGAGAAAGCGGACGGGGAATGTTTTTCTCCCGCTCATACGAAAAACCCAGGAGCATCCAACAACAATGAATGTGGGAAGATTCAGGACACACCAAATTACTTCTTCACAAAGCACATGGTTTAAGCAGTGGAATTTGCTTCCATGGGAGGTAGTGATGGCCACCAACTTGGACAGCTTTAGGAGGACTGGGCAAATTCATGGAAGGTGAGGCCAGTAATGACTGCTGGCCACAATGGCTATGTTCTCCCTGCATTGTTGGAGGCCTCTGAATACCGCTGGATAGAGAATCATAGGTAAGGAGAGTGCTGTTGCATTCATGTCTGGCTTGTTGGTATTCCCACTGCGGCTCCTGGTTGGCCACTGAGAGATTAGGATGCTGAACTAGATGGACCTTTGGCCTCATCCAGCATGGTTCTTCTTATGTTCTTACGCAGCATCAGCTGCTGTGACTGGCAGGCACAATGAAGCCTCTGGGTTGGCCAGGTGTGGAGCCTGATCTTCACCCATTGTCTAATCCAGTGTTCCCAACCTTGTGCCTCCCAGCTGTTTTTGGACTACAAATTCCCATCATCCCTGACCACTGGTCTTGCTAGCTGAGGATTATGGGAGTTGTAGTCCAAAAACAGCTGAAGGCCCAAGGTTGGGAAATGCTGGTCTAATCAATAGAATTTTATTTCCAAGGAATGCAGCCTCCAGATCGGGATTCAGCTATGGCTGCAGATGGCCCCAAAGCCAGCAGTCTACAGTAGCCTAACTTTTCATTTTACAATTTTTAGAAAGGAGATGCTGATGAGTTGGCAGGTTTGGGAAATCAAAGGTAGTCAGCTGACATACCTCTGAATGATCAGGGACTTCAAGCAACAGAAAATGATGTTTCTAAATGGTAGTCTGTAAGGGTGGTTGCTTAAGAATGCTCTTTGACCTGAAGACTGGAAGCACGCAAGCCTATGCAATCTTGATGTGCCCTGAAGCACGTCAGGGGGAAGAAAAAGAAAAGAAATATTGATAGAAAGAAGGTTGGCTGGAGCCTGTCTAAACTTCCTGATATTCTACATTCCTTCTTTTGATTTTTAGATAGCACTTATGCTATTATTTACATTTCTCCCCTTCTCATTTATTTATTGACTCCTCATTTATCTCTCCAAATGTGGGTGGTGCTTTTAAAAAAAGTATTTGTATTCCTGATCCATTTCTATGGTGGACAGATGCTTCCATTGCCACATTGCATTGCCTAGCTAATCTACATGTAGGTTTTTTAAGTAGATGACAGCTCTTCCAATGATTTTATCTTCCCAGCCACATTCCATTGCAACCTGATTCCTTCCCCTCTATTACTGTCTAGGGCTGATGGATTCTTTCACTCTCTCCACTATGTTCCTTCTCTGTGCCTCCTCCGTCTGTTGAGTATTATCTCAACTAAGCACATTTGCAGCCCTACATTTTGCCTGAATCCTCATGGTTCATTTATAATATTGGGAAGAAGGACAACAGTTTATGCAAACTGAAGTATTTGGCAGCTCTCTTCTTAGGATACTGATGGTGTCTCTCCACCCCTCCCCCCCTTTTCTGTTTCCAAACACCTCTCTAGAAGACATTCCATAGCCATACTGTAAAGAACTCAGGAGAGTACCACACATAAAATTTTGCTGTTCCTTTTGTGGGGGTCTAGAAGTGTGAATTTCACACAATACTGAAGTTGATTAATAGTTCCTTATTTGCACAAAAGTTCAAAATGCAGCTCAATCAAAACATTTTTAAAGAACTAAGGTTTATATGTCCCCAAATTCCGAAGTAAGTTTCTGAATACCCTGTATCATATTACCATACCTTTCAAGGTATGCAATTCTTTTCTCCAGTCGATTTTTTGTTTTGTTTTTGTGCAACACTCAGGAATGTGTGAAGACATCTGATGATAGCAAATAAAGACCTAGGAATATGCACCCCAAAATAAGCTTTGGGATCCCACAAATCATACACTCATACATCCAGAATAGTATGGTCTACTACAAGATGGCATTCAGCCATGTTCAGTCCAAGACATTCTTAGGGTACAGCACGTCAAAGGGTACCCCTATGTCAGTCACAAAGGAATTGAATTTTACTGTCCTGGACTGATTGTATATAAAATAGGATACTCTTTATTTTTCATTTTAACTGTCAGCATATTTGGTAAGTATAGGGTTAACCTAGAGTTCTAGTGGTTGCCCCAAGGGAATGTCTGGAGGGGGGGAGCATATGTGGCCCTCCAGGCCTCTCTGTCTGGTCCTTAGAATGTTCCCAGGCTACACCCCTCATTGACTCTGCTTTGCACCCTCCCTATTTTAGTCTGGCTGGAAAGTGTCCTTGAAGTCTGATACTGCTTCTTGCTTGCCTGGATGGAGGATAGAAAGGGGTGTGTGATTGTGTATAGAAACTAGCCTTCTGTATGATGGTAAAATCTGCATTCACTGCTCCACCCACTTTTCCATTAGGGTCCTGCCCACCAGTAGCTGTAGAAGGTTCCCCATCCCCCTGCTGCAAGTGAAATCAATACATAGCATCAGTCTGTGAAAATGCAGCCTATAGTACTCCTCCAACTGTCTGAAAGCTAAAGAAACCGACAGTGCAATTCTCATTGAGGTGGGTGCCCATGGATGCTGTGCAGCATAATGACCCATCTTTCCCTCAAATGGAAATGATGATTATCTTCTAATGGGCTGTTGAGATGATGAATGCAGGTAACCTTACAGAGAGAAAAAGTGTTAGATGTGATAAATAGCAGAGATCCTTCAGATGTAAGACTGCTGTAAAACAAATCAGGGAAATTACTACTTTGTCTCCCTAATTAAGCAAACCAAGAGCTCCAAGTACCTGTGTACACCTTACAGACAGAGGGAAAGCCAGTTGGACACCTGCTCCAAAATGAGGCTTCTTCATTCACTTCTGCTACTACAGAAGTAGTGTCTGCTAAAGAGATACTAATTAGATCTTCCTGGTGAGTTTCCTTTTGTGCGCACACTGAGCAGGGAATATAATTGTAGCTGCATCAGCCATTCATTCTTCTTGTGAAGTGAACTGTAATGACTAATCGTTCTGCTGTTGTCCTGCTCTGAATCAAAAAATTGCAATTACTCCTAATATTTGCTTATGTTTCTGTAGATCTGTGAGCTGATTCTTCATATTTTGGGTCTATTCTGGAGGTAAGGTGTATGGGGGAGGGGATTTCTTTCAGCACAAGAAAATGGCACAGTTTCAACCCTTTCGGAAGCACCATAGATCAGTCCGTAAGGATCTACTTTTGCATGAACAAAGTCCCACATTCAATCCTGGCATCCATCTGAAAACCTGCAGAGCTGCTGCTTGTCACTGTATATCTTAGGCGCAATGTAAGTTGAACAGTTAATATGCATAGCAGCTGCTCCCTGTGCACATTTACCAGGCTTCATAGAGAATATG